CCGGAAAAAGGTCCGAGGAAAAAAAAAAAGGCGAGGCCGGAAGCGCAGGGGCTTGCCGGGCCCATGAGCTGGCGCGACACGGCGGCAACACAACACCGAGACACCGCGTGGCGGGCGCGGTTTAGGCGCATCATTACGTGTGAAGGTGCGGAGCGTGTAGTCTGTCACCACTTCGGGGACCGTGGACTCGCCCGAGAGCCGTTCAGGTAGTGGTAGCCCGTGCTGCACAGACAGCTGGCGCAGTTGCGCATCGTGACGGCGTGTCCACCCCGGACAGCGCAGGAGCTGTGGCGGCAGAGTGGGCACAAGAGATCGCCGGAACCCTGGGCTTGCGCGCGCAGCTGCGCCACACATCCGAGGTGTAAGCGATGCCCCGTGCAGGAGGGGAACGGGACAACGAACTCCGCGTTCTGCCCATCCGCCGGAGGGTTTCCAGGCACACGCAACAAAGGGCCAAATCGTCCGTCGCCAAGTGTGTCGGCTGCGGGCCTGCACTGAGCGCGGCTGCCCCGGGAAGCGCCTGCGGAGCGGCAGACTGCAGCGCGCGCCGTAGGCTTTGGGTGGTGGGCGCGACATACGCGCGGAGGCCTGCGGGGGTGCGATGGCGTGACATGACATCGCTTGGCTTATACTGATACAGACGGGCAAAGGGGCGGGGCGACGGCCAGCCGTCGGGGCGCCGCGGCTCGTTCATGTCCCAGTCTCTATAATCCAGGTTTCGGGTACAGGGCACTAAATCAGCAGTGTAAGTCACTGGGGTCGAAATGGGGCGGGGACAGGAGGTCAAGCAAGCTGGCTGCGCTTTTTGGGCCGAAGAGCGCGAGTGTGTATAAGAAAACCTTGAAAAAAAACGAGGTGGCGGCCCACGAATGCACAGCACAAAGCTGGAGACCAGGAGCTGCCCACCTGCCGCCGCTCCGGGTTGAAGCCGAAGGGGGAGGGCTGTATGTAGCCGGAGGGCGCCGCGGCACAGGGGCCCCAGGAGGAGAACTTGTTAAGAGCCGCCTGTTCAGGGCCGAACATGAAACAGACCGTCTAAAAGCTGAGGCCGCGGCAGGCGTGAAGAATGCGTCAGCGGCCAGGCCCGCGGCGGCGAGGGCAGTAGTGTGAGTGTAGCTGTTCTGTAGGGCGCTGACCTCTCGCCTGCATAGTGCCCAGCAGACCAGTCGCTCCTGAGCTCCAGGGCGCACATTCTTAAGATGGGTGCGGCGCTGTGTATGCAGCCACGGCTGCCACGGCAGGAGGGACTGAGGGACCGGCTGCAGGAAGAACGGCGCTGGAGACAGCAACGTTGGCAGGAGAAGTGGGGCGGCCGCAGAACGGGCTTGGTCCGGCGGGTGCGCCAAACGGGTTGGAGGGCCTGGGGCGCTCTCAACGGCAGCAGCGGGGGAGTGAGGCGCGCGGCCACGTGCCGGTCGCGCTCGCTTTGCCCGGCCCGGTTGCCACGGCAACGGCGGCGGCGCCCAGGAGCTGCAGGAGCGTGTGGCTCGGGGGCGGCTTCAGGCTCAGACCCACGTCGTACAAGCGGGGGGCGCGGAGTCGGGGGCCGACGTGCCGGGGAGCGGCGCCAGCTGCGGCTGCGGGACCGGCTGGAGCTGGGGGAGCGCACGGGGGAGGGTGAGGGCGAGGCCAAGGTTGAGGGTGCGCGCACCGAACCGCCAGACGCTTCGAGGTCGGACAGGCGCAGCACTACCGTAGTAGCCCACGGCGCCTGTCGTAGGCTGCCTGCAGACTCAAGTCGTCCACGATCACGAGCGCGCTTTCCATCCGATGGCGAGCCCACCGCTAAGCGACCAGACAAGGCTAGATTCTTGAGCCAAAATGGCTTGAGCCAGAATGGCTCTGACCGGAAACCTGTGAAATCACATGTGCAGACTCAAGGTGTCCTGCCCCTCCCGCTTGCGCGCCGCGTCCTTTCATAAGCTTGATGTAAACCTTCGGGGAGGGAGGGTGGACAGAATATTTCCGTTTTGGAAATGTTGGTGCATCAGGTCTTGCGAAATTTTCGTACGGTCTTTTTAGCCTCGCCCTGTCTCCGCCTAGTTGCTGCCCACATGCCTCGTTGGACAGTAAAGCGATGATGGCGACTTCCAGACATCTCCGGCTAGGCAAATTTTAGCTGATGGCAGGATATGTATGGGTCGCAACATCGGTAGTTAAGCTAGACGTGGGCCAGTGGGTACGGAATGTTGAGACGATCTCTTGCACCGGCATACACAGCAGTCGTTGTGGATCGAGAACAGACCGCCGTGCAGCGTCACCACGAAGGCTGTGCTCGCATGGATTGCTGTTGGGTACTCAATGCCCCCAATGCCGAACTCAAAGCCTTTGAAACCCAAGCAGAGTGAATGGTGGCACCGGTGTGATCCGAGTGGTCCATGGCCCAGGACCGCATTCTCAACATTCATTCAGACCATAATCACGACTATGCATTTTGACAGGACGCTAATCTCAGCAGCGCGGCTGCAGAGCGCGAACTCCGAAAAGCAATTTCCTGAGTTTGCAGCTGCCGTCGATGAGACAAGGGACAGGTTGCATGGACATTTGCAGTGGTGGAGCCGGAAAGGTAAAAGCAGCCGATTCCGATCAGATTGACTGACGTTTAGTAATATTGTACCTGCACATCACCGAAACACATAGGGCAGCAAGATGCTGAAGAGTTCCACTTGCAGGCTCGGCTGCAAGAGCTCTGCGCCCAACGTGCTGTGCGGTTGAAAGAGGAGTCGAGCGGGTTTGCTGTGCTGTTTTGTGCCGGGTAGCGACTGGGACCTTGCTGTTTCCGGGTCGGCAGAAACGGTTCAGTCTTGACGAGCGCTTCCCAATGAGTCCGGAACCAACAAGCCTTGAACCGCTTGCAGGCGCAGGTCCGCGAGCAGCTTGCGCATGCCCGGGTGGAAGCAGAGCGGGAGGTTTGCACAGAGCGATGGTCCGGGCGCGGCTCCCAAGGCTTCGGATCCCTGAAACGACGGGATGATAAGGGTAAAGGGGGCTTGGGGACGCAAAGCAGGATCATTATTATTGGCATTCTGGTGAGACCGGAGTCTTCCAGCTTAGCAAATTGAGCCTGCACCCGAGAGCCGCCCCAAGGCTTCGAATCGTCGACCGCCTTGTTCGCCAGGACACGGGCTCTGGCTTTTACCGTATCATAAAACTTGAGAGGAGACTGAGGAGACCTTCCCCAGATGCTTTGAACACTTCTCAGCCCAATATCTGCGTGGGCCTGCCGTTGGTTTAGCCCGGAGTATACCAAGCCCCGAAGAACTGACCAGGACAAGTGGGACGCCTCCATGAAGGGCAAGGCCGACGCTAAGCAGGGGGTTCATCCGGCCAAGGAAAAAACCACAAAACGAAGCACGCACAGAATGGCAAGCGAGGCAACAGAGAGGCAGAGAGGCAGAAGAAGGATTGCAAGCCGACCTGCTCGAGGAACTGGTTCATCTTCGACATCTCGCCAAACTGTCCAGCACCCAGTTTGTCTTATCATGTCTTATCACAATTATCGTTACGTGGCCCCGTCCCAGCCAATCCGCAACCGTAGAGCTTCAACCCTGCATCCGAGGATCCTCAAAGCCAGCCACGTAGCATAGTTTGCTCATGACCCTCGGAGCAAACGGGTTAAACTTCTGAAGTTTCCAAGGCAATGAAGTCAAGCAAAACCGACGAGAACACCCGAACCCTCCCAAATCCTTACTTGCGCGCTCATGCCCCCAAACCCAAAGCACGAAACCTTCAAGTCGGGCTCCACATCGTCGTATCACTAGCTCAACCCTCACCTCAACCATGGGCCCCAAACCGGAGGCTCACCAAGGACAGAGACAAGGCCGGGAGCCTGGTCTCTGTTTGTTCTTCGCTTCCAGATGCACCCCCCTATAGCTTTTCAGAATTCCCCAGGTTTGAACGCATTCGAAGCACAAAGGCCGACATGCAGAAAGGTGGAGTAGTGATCACAAAATTAGCTGCGCGCATAGCATCGCAATCACCACAACTGTAGCTATTGACTCTTCTCATTTCTTCCGTGGCCTCAACCCTAAACTCTAAGCTCAGAGCCCTGCGCCGATTTGAGGTGGTCATCGCCGTCCTGGCCGCTGCCCCGCGGAAGCCCACGAAGAATGCCCAGGGCGAGCAAGTCATGGAGCGCGCCCGGGAGTTGAAGGGCCCCAGACTGCAAGATTGAGACTTTTCAGGTCTGACCTCAGTTGTTGCGGCAATGTATCTGGACTTGGCGAGGTAGTGTGAGGCAGCTTCGCTAGCTAGCTAGTTCCACTGGAATCTCGGAATGAGACATTTTCGAGGGTTTGCTGTGCAAGCTGACCGCCTCTCCAGTCCGCTAGCATGCATCAGAGTGACGTGCGCGTGTGGCTTTGAAGCTCCGGGGCCCGGGATGCCACGGCCCAGCCATGGCCCACACGGGGTTTGTGAAGAGGCTCTTTAGCGATAGGAGGTATGGCTTCATCCAGTTCATCCAGAGTGACGCCGCGGAGAGGGAGGTTTTTTTTCACTTCTCCGAGCTTTTTCCTTCAAGGGAAGACGTGGCCGAAGGGACCGCAGTAGCCTTTGACATTGAGGAGAATCCCTGGAGTGGAAGGATCAAAGCTGTAAATGTCACCGTGGAAGAGCCGTGGCAAGGCTGGCGTGCAGAATTCAGAGAGGTGAATGAGCCGTCCCCTTGGGGTGAGGAAGCCTCTGCAAGTGAGGAGAGGGGCCAATGGCCCAGCTGGGAGTTAGGTCCTTCTGGATGGGCTTCTGCCTCTGCTAGGGAGTGGACACCAGCGGACGGAAGCGCACGCGAGTGGAACGATGGGTCTTCGCAAGGCTTCGCCACGGAGCTTCGGGCGTGGCTGTGCGGCCTCGATCATGGCAACGGGGAGATGCTGCGGTTTGAAAAAGCGATTTCCCGGCACTACGACAGCTGGGAAGCATTGCTGAAGGGCTCCATCCAGGACGCCGATGCACAGCCAGTGTTGCTGAAGGAGGACTTCCACTACAAGATCGGGCTCATGGAGACCGGCCACACCGTCCGAATGGCCGCGGGCCTGCGAGAGGTGTTGGACAACGCCCCGAGCAAGAGCCAGGAAGCACAGCCAGAGACAGCGCTTCAGCCAGACTTTGGCAGAGCGGCCCAGCCACAGACCGAGGACTGTGACACAGACAGTGGGACAGAAGATGAATCCAATGAAGGCTGCATCCTCATCTTCGTTTGCATCATGGCTCGGGGCGTTGAGTTGAGCTTGAGCATGCCTCCAGCTAGTACCGTCGGGGAGGTCCTGGCCAAGTTGGAGGAGCTCGAGGGAGTAGAGCATGGCACCCAGCACTTGTTCTCACTGTCGCAGGCGAGGAAGCTCGAGCCCCAGGAGGTCGTGGCCGGTGGCGCCCAGCTCTTTCTGTCGAGCCCCGAAGATGAGCGTATGCTGTCGCTGCTTCCGGAGCACATCCGGCCCCACCTGAACCCGGCGTCTCTGGTGGACGTGGTGCTTGACTTGGACCGGAAGCCGGTCGTCCACGAGCGAGACGAGCAGGGAAAGCTGTACAAGCGCGTCCTCGATGCCTGCCCACTTGTACAGCAAGACGACTTAGATGCCGCGGAAGCTCACGAACTGCTCGCCGGACGTTGGACCAAGGATAACCGCTCTGGCATCTCGGGCACTCTCCACAGGGTGGCCCGCATCGTGGATCATTACGGTGGACGAAGTCTGACTGGCTTGACGCTTCGCATGGCACATCCCATGTATGGCCTCGCAGAGAAAGTGCCACATCTGCGCAGGGTCATCGAGAATGGAAAGTCGCTGCTGGTCCTCGGTCCCCCCGGCTGTGGCAAGACGACCCTCCTGCGCGAGGTGGCACGCTCCCTTAGTGAAGAGTTCAATCGTCGTGTTTTTGTCGTCGACACCTCGAGCGAGATCTGTGGCTTCGGCAGGAGCGCGCATGTTGCGGTTGGCCGAACGACGCGAAGGATGCAAGTGGCGGACAGGAGCCTCCAGCACCAGGACATGCTGGAAGCAGTGCAGAATCATACGCCAGAGGTGCTGGTCATTGACGAGATTGGGAGCCAGGACGAAGTTGAGGCAGCTTGCCGCATCGGTTTCAAAGGCATCGCTCTGGTCGCCACGGCGCATGCAAACAATTTGAAAGAGGCCATTGACAATGTGGCTCTGCAGTCCTTGTTCGGTGGTTTTCAGACCAGCACAGTGTCAGACCAAACTGCCCAGCGTTCCGCCGACGGACGTAAGTTTGTGGAGCAGCGCCGCAGTGCACCGGTCTTCAAGAGCCTGGTCGAACTTGGCCGCGGATCCGGCGACGAGTGGGTTGTTTACGAAGATTTGGAGGGTGCCATCGATCTGATCCTCGCAAGGAAGCCCGCTCAAGGGTCCCGGGTGCCTGCGCCCAGCACCCGCGGGCGGATGGCAAAGCCAACGTCAGGCCATCGAGGTGGCAGAGAGCTCAGAGCGTCGCAAGAGCCCACGTTCAGAGCTCCCGGGGCCGACGAGACGTGGGACAATTTTTGGAGCCGGGGCGGCCGGCTGGAGGAGTTGACGCCTCGCACTCCCGAAGGTGGTGCAAGGATTGCACCGGATGAGCTGGAGGCCCGGAGAGCCATGCGAGATCGAGAGATCTCAGGCCGAGCCTACCGTTTGTGCTTCGACGGCGGCGTGGATGGTGGCGACAAAGGACCTGGTGGTGCAGGAGCTATCCTCCGTCGGCTCCGGGCCGGAACGGGCCATCCGGATCGGCGGACTGGGAAGACTTGGATGCTGTACCATCCGAAATCCTCTCCGGAACTCATGGAGTATGCTGGCTTGCTGCTGGGCTTGCGTGGCGTCTCGCAGATTTTGCACACCTTGAAGCCGGCTCCGGAGGCGATCCTGATCGAAGGCGATTGCAAGCTTGTGGTCGACCGCCACGGTGGGAGCTCTCGTGCGGCACAAGGCTTACGCAGTGAGCACCCCGACGTCGAAGCCAAGCTGGATGCCTTGGCAAACTTGGTGGACGAGGCCAGGCAGCAACTGGAGAGGCAGAGCGTGACGCTCGACGTGGTGAGGTGGCGCAACCGGGGCCGGAACAAAGCAGCCGACCGGCTCTCGCACGAAGCGCGAGCGAAGCGCCAGAGCACCCTCGAGCTGGGCCCCGACATTTTGGCACTTCTGAGAGCCTTTGAGGTCGGCCAGGTCCCAACTCTCTGGCAGGTGAAGCTTGCGCATCCCATGCTGCGCATCGCAGAGGGCGCCGTGACGCACCCGCGGCAACTTCTCGGGCTTGTGGGCCTCGAGCTGAAACCCGACTCAGCCGACGGATCTTTCAGCCTTTCGGTGCGGGTGGACGGAGCTTGGGGCAAGGCGGATTCGTTTTCGCTTGGCCTCGTGCCGACGGGCAGCATCGATTTCACACGTGCGCAAGACTTCGTCGCCGGGGAGGTTGGCTTCTGGTTCAGCCCGAAGTCGGGCACCGTTTGCGGGATGCTGGGCGGGCAGAAGGCTGAGTTCACACTGCCTTCCCTGAGGGGAACGCACCCGCGGTCAGCCAGTGACAAGAAGAAAGCGACTCTTCTGAACGGTGCCAGGTGGGGCATGACGTACAGGCGAGGAGGCCTTGAACTGTTCATGGCGATGCCGGATGATGAGCTGCAGTCCCTAGGGCGCGTGCAGTGGCCCTGGGGCGAAGTGCTGCCGCACCGTGCATACTCGTTTGCAGTGCTCTTCAAGCCTAGGCGGGGTGGCTCTGGCTCTGTTGGGTGGCCCAGCGGCGCCACCCAGCAAGGACTAGGTCCTTCACATATGAAGACAGCAAGCAACTGGAGTAGTGATGCTTACCTGACGCTTCTGGGGGATGGCCTTGGCACCTTTTTTTCGAAGAAGGCTTCCTGGACGCTGCAGGGTTTTCATCCAGAGCTCGACTTCCTGTACCGTGTGCCAGAGGGAGAAGCTTTGCATATGCGGTGCTGTAGGAAGTGCTTGTCACTGCACAGCCGGGACATGGACACCGAAAACTTCCTCCGCGGCTTGGGAGACGAAGAGCTTGCGGTCTGGCTCAGATGGAGGAAAGTCCAAGTGCTGTCTACCAGGGACCTTGTGCTTGGAAATGTCAGTCCAGGAGTTCAGATCATCGGCAAGGACATCCTTTTCCCGCAGACCTTGTTCGGATGCGAGGGTGTGCAGTTTCCAGCTGAAACCAGGCGCCTCGCTGTGAAGCAAAGGGGACAGTGGACAAACAGAGAGAGCTTCCTGCTTGGCATCACTCCTGAGGGGTGTAGCTTTGGAGGTGCAACCATAGCTGAGATGGGCTTTTTCTTTTCGCCGCGCAGTCTCAGCTTGATCGGCTTGGATGGCACCAATTTCTCTTGGCCAGACACCCTGGAAGAGGTGTGGTGCCAGCAGCTTGCAGAGAAATGCCAGGCGAGCCTTCCAGAGGTTGATGGTAGCCTGCCTCTTGAATACCGAGAAGATGCTTGCTGGTGCATCGAAAGAACCGATAACAATGAACTTGCCATCTTTTACAAGCCAGCTTACACCGTCAGAGGTGTCGAAGCAAATGAGTGGGTTCAGCTGGGCGTGGCGCCTTGGAAGACGGCGACTCTGAACCAATGGAGGCAATGGCATTTCACGATTGTGTTCAAGGCTGCGACATCACTCCATCAGGGCAGGGTGACCGCGGCCCAAAATCCTCATGAAGCAAAAAGAGAACATCCTGCGGATAATCGTGGCCCCTTTCTTGGCCACGAATGTGGCGAAAGATCACAGGCCACACGTCGTGGTAGCGAACGCCCTCGTGTCGAGATGTTGCTTGAGCAGGATTTGACCGGCGATCTCTTCGGTGGCGCCCCTTCTGTCAGAAAGGATGCCAACACATTCCATTACCGGTGGGACGGTCCCCAACCGCTCGTGCAGCGACTCCGGGCTGCTACCAGGGACTCTCGACCAAGGAGGGCGCCGGCCGCCGAGCATGGTGTTAGACTGAAAATGGCTTCCAGACCCAGGCGGACTCCCGATGCCCCGCACGTTGCATTTCCGCATGTGTGGGAGTCTACGTGATCACGGAAAAAGGACGCGAGAGGAGGCCAGTGTTGTGGCGAGGAAGGGTCGCACCGCTTGCTTGATAGGATGGGCAAGTTCCTCTTTGTCTGATTGCTTCCAGTCTGATGATGGAGTCTAAATTCTAGGGGAGCCCCGCTGCGCATGACGCTAGAAAGAGGGACGGACAAACATGCATGCTGCAGAGCCTTGAGAGCGTGTATGAAAGGCTAGCACGCCGACATAGCTCCTGCTTGTTCGCAAGTGCCACGAGAGGGCCTTTGATGACGGACGACTGCTGGCACGCATGTGTCCAACCAAAGCAACACTTCGAACACTCTTCGGAGACCCTAGAATGGTGACTCGCTTTGGGTTTAGGGTTTAGGGTTTCGGAATGGTGACTGATCCCTTATCGTCACACCCCGAAGGATTGGACACTCACCGACTTGGACAAGGACGCAACGACAGAGGCACCGCCTTCGGACATCGCTTGATGTTGAGGGCCGGATCGTGGGTTTCGGCCGGGCTTCGTCGTTTGCTTCGCGTATTTGGGGAGGTGAAGGCGGTAAATTAGGACCCCTAGGATTTCGCATTGGGTTGCCGAGTGTTCAGACAAGAGAGCGGCGCATGGCCAGACTCGAAACTCCATCGAGCCGCTTTGCGTCGGACAAGAAGTGAAGTCCCGACGATCGATTACAAACCCGCTCCTCTTTGCCGATTGTGACAATAGTTTGAGAATCACGGACGTAAACAAGTCAACCTGACTTGCTAAGGTTCTCTCCACCCAAACCCCCGAAAACCCCGAACCTTTAGCCCTCTTGCTTGGCTTGTCCAAGTGTGCCCTGCTACACCCTGCAAGAAAGTCCCAAAGTAAGATCAGAACCAGGCCACCGTAGCCATAGCCTGAACATGAACATGCCTGAATATTGAATTTGTGCCGTAAACCTTCAAGGTCCCAAAAAAAGAGTTCCCTCCCAGTACTACCCTCCAAGGAACGATCCTTGAACCTCGGAGCCTTCACTCCTAGAACCCCGAGCCCCTCAATCCTCGCCTGCCTTGCCTAGTTGAGGGTGCAGGGTTTCGGGTTCTGCGGTTGATGATAGAAATCCTGCATTACCCAAAATAGGGAGCATACCATAATTCCCATAGTTTAGGGTCCTTAAGGTAATGCAGGATTTATACCATCAACAGTACTTATGTGAAAGGCCGGGAGGGCCGCAAGTGCTGGCACATAGCTCAGCTCCTACTATCACCTTTAATCACCCGCAATATCCACCCCTAACCCGAAACCCTAATACAGTAGTCCCCATAGTGACCCCTTGTCATAAGGACTTTTTAGGGAGTTTAGAATATAACTCATCTAAGCCCTTCAGCCCCAAGCCGGACAGACAGAGACCCCACAAGGTTGGGCTGATCTTCCTGGGCCGCGCGATGCAGCACTGGCTGGAGGACGACAAGGTCCCAAGACTCAGATTTTGGGAGCCTCCCCAGATTTTGTATAAAGCCCCGGTTAGGCATGGTTTAGGAGCTCGGTTTCGGTTTCGGCCCTATCCGAAATCCCGCGGAACTGTACTGAAGGTGCTGGGGTTTGGAGAAGTTGATGGTTTCAGGGCTCAGCGGCCGACACCCTCAGCGAAGTGGGGTTTCGACATCCCGCACCCTAAACATCCCCAAACCCCAAACCCAAAGCCCTAAACCCTAAACCCCTAAAGCCCTCAAGCCCTAAACCCTAAACCCCTAGACCCTGAACCCTAAAGTGCCCTATAACCCTATAACCCTAAGGCCCTAAATTTCTTAAAGCCTATCCTGCCAGGCACAGCCCGGTCATATCCTGGCGGTGCTGAACCCGCGGCTCTCCTGCCGGGCTGGGGTGCGGGACCTGTCTTTGAGTTGTGCAGGGCTGTTTAGGACTTGAAGTAGGTTTGAGGGTTTAGGGGTTTAGGTTTTTTTGGGGTTTAGGGGTTTAGGCTTTGAAGGTTTGAGGGTTTAGGAGTTTAGGAGTTTAGGGCTTTGGGGTTTTACTGTTTACAGGGTTTAGGGTTGGCGGGTCTGGGAGTGCAGCGAAAGCTTTAATTCACACAATGATCCAAGAACGACTTCAGCCCCACAGAAGCCCGCACAGTCATTGAACGCCCGGCCGACCTCCAGCCCGGAGAACTGCTTTGTGGGTGTTTTACTCGGTACTACGGTTGATGATATAAATCCTGCATTACCCATAATAAGCAATATGCCATAATTCCCCATAGTTTAGGGTCCTTATAGTAATGGAGGATGTAGATCATCAACAGTAGTATGTCCTGGAGTTACGAACAAAATTCCTCTGGTGATGATGCTCTGCTGCTGGGTTGTGGAAAGACTGGTTTCTAGAAGGGATTATGGGGTTTAGGGTTTGGGGTTT